GGTGGGTCGCCGTCTTTTTCCTCTGAAGGAGCAGGCGTAGGCAGTGGGTGCTGTTACGCAAAAACCGTGATAGAGTGAAGCCGCGGAAGTCGAAGCACAGAAGTGGCGAGGGTTCACTGTAAACCTGGTGAAAGGGTACAACGCAGATGCCTATTTTTTCTGATTTTCAACTGCCTCTTGGTCTGTGTGTAAGTTCCACATGAGCACAATTAAGTATTCGGGAATCCCATTTCTGTACAATGCTATCTATGGTTTATTTTGATTCACACAGTTGAATGGTAAACATATCTCTGGAATTCTCAGCATTCAGCTAAGATCCATATCACATGCAAATAAATGGGTGAAGGGAGACGTCGGACAGGGCAAGATATGACAAAATACCCATTTGTAAACTATCAAGGGCTGATGAGGGAGTGGGGAGCGGGGAGGGAGGGGAAAAATGGGGACCTAATGTCGGGGGTTTAAGTGGAGAGAAAATGTTTTGAGAAACGATGTACAAATGCGCTTCACACAATTGATGTGTGTATGGATTGGGATAACAGTTGTATGAGCCCCTAATAAAATGTTAAAAAAAAAAAAAGTCTGAAGATAATCCAAAAAAATGGCTGCAGCAGTACATAAACAGTAAGCTGCCAGGAACTCAAGCCGGATTCAGAAGAGGACATGGAACCAGGGATATCATCATAGCTGTTGTCAGATGCATCTTGGCTGAAAGCAAAGAACATCAGCTAGACGTTTACTTGTGTTTTATTGACTGTGCACAGGCATCCAACTCTAGGGATCACAGAAAAGGCTGGAGAGCAGTGAGAAAGAAGAATGGGGATTCCAGAACACTTCATTGTGCTCGTACAGAACCTGTACATGGATCAAGAGGCAGTCGTTCAAACAGAACAAGGCTTAAAATCAGAAAAGGTGTGTGCTAGCCTTGTTTCCTCACCATGTTTATTCAATCTGTGTGCTGAGCAAATCATCAGAGGAGTTGGACTCTAAGGAGAGGAACGTGGCATCAGGATTGGAGGAAGGCTTGGCAGCAACCTTCAATATGCAGATGATAGAACCTTGCTTGCTGCAAGCAAGGAGGATTTGAAGTACTTGCTGATGAACATAGAAAATGACAGCTTTTATTACGGATTATAACTCAATGTAAAGAAAACCCAAATTCTCACAACTGGACCAATAGATAACATCATGATAAATGGAGAAAATATTAAAAGTTGTCAAGGATTTCATTTTACTTGGAATGAAATCAATGCTCATGGAAGCAACAGTCAAAAAATCAAACATTGTATTGCATTGCATAAATCTGCTGCACCTCTTTAAAAGTGTTGAAAGCCATGGATGTCACTTTGTGCCTACACCAAGTCCCGGGATTTTCAGTTGCTTCCTATGCACGGGAAAGTTGGCTGTAGACCACGGATGACCAGAAAAGAATTGATGCATTTGAATCATGGTGTTGGTGAAGAATATCGAAAGCACTCTGGCCTACCAGAAGCACAAACAAAATTGTCTTGGAAGTACAGCCAGAATGCTCCTTAGATGTGAATAGGGTGAGACTTTGTCTCATATATTTTGGACATGTTATCAGGTGAGACCATTCCCTGGAAAAGAACATCACGGTAAAGTAGAAAGACAAAAGAGAGAAAGACCCTCGATGAGACGGATTGGCCCAGTAGCTGCAACAATGGGCTCAAACATAATCGTCAGGATGGTAGAAGACCTGGCAGGGAGGCCTTCCGTTGGCCACACAGTCCCAATGAGTCTGGATGCTGAATCTAGTCTGTGGTCCCCCACAACCACAGCATGCCTAAGATGATGATGCAGGAAGCATAAGAAGATGGATAGGATATACAGTGTCACAGTACCAAAAATAAACTGACTTTCCATCATTTCAGGAGGTACCCATATGACCAAGACCCAGTGGTACCAAAGGAAGAAGCCCAAGCTACACTAAAGATACTGGCCAAAAAATAAGACTCCAGGAATTAGTTGACTGCCAATTGAGATGTTTTTAATGAATGGAGGCAATGCTGGAAATGTTCACTTGTCTTTGCCAAGAAATATGGCCAACCAACGGGAAGAGATCCATATTTGTGCCCATTCCAAAGAATTGAGAAATGATCACACAACGGCATTAATATCGGCCGACGTAAGTTTTGCTGCAGATAGTTTCCAAATTGTTAAAACAGTACGTTGACAGGGAAGTGCCAGAAATCCAAGCTGGATTCAGAAGAGGAAGTGGAATGAAGGCTTTTATTGCTGATGTCAGATGGATCTCGGTTGAAAGCAGGGCAGACCAAAAAGATGTTTACCTGCCTTTCCCTGACTAGGCAAAGGCACTCGACTGTGGTGCTTAACCATCGATGGGTAATGTCGAAGAGAGGGAATGGAGCCATGATGGGAGGGCTGGGACAGAACCGGTCCAGTTTCCTAGTGGCTGGAGTCCCCGGTGTCTCCTTTCCCAGGACGGCTGGAGCCTTGTGGAAACTGGGGAAAGAGTCAATGCAACAGGAATGGAGAGAGCCTGGTGCTTATGACTCAGAGATGCCTTGTGCAGCGACAGACCTTGTGATGAGAGAAAAGAGCAAGAGCTAAAGGCAGAACTTTTAGATGGGGGTTCCAGAGGGGCTTTTCTGAAATGTGAAAACGAACACATGGGCAGATTTTGCAACATGACCCAGCCCTGCTGCCTTCCAGTCTCTGCCTCCCCAGCCTCCGGCCTGTTCTCCCCACTCCACCCTGTGCTTCCTCCCATCGTTCTTCAAGGTCCGCTTCTATTTCTGCTTTCCGTGTCCTTCTTGAATCCTGTTCCTTCGGTCCCACTCCCTTGCTCCCTCTCCCCCCACCTTTGCCCTTTCCCAGTTCCCCCTTCTCTCCTCTTCCCTGGTGCCCTGTTCATCTCTGTCCCACTGGCTGCCTGCCTTGGCCCCCTGGCCTTCGATGCTTAATGTGGGGCCCATGGGAACTGGAGTTCACAGCAAAACAGGAAGAGTCAGGGAGTAGGAAACTGGGAGTGGGGCAGGGGGTGAATGACCAGCAGTAACCTCAGCTCCTCTGAGCCTCTCACATCTGCATGGAGGCATACGCAGGGTTCTCAGCCTCTCCCCCTGCAGCCTCTCCATTGCAGTACTTTGCTGTTCCTTTGGACCTGGAAGGCAACAAGACTGTCTCACGGACTGGAGTGGGGACACTGGGGTTCTGAGTCCAGCTTGGCCACTAACTGTGTGTGGCACTAAGAGAGGGACTTGCACAGCTCTACATTGTTCTCCGAAAGACGGGGCTCCCGGGGTTTCTCCTCCCTCTCTCCAGGGGCTGCTCTGGGGGCCAAACGAGGTGGTGGTGAGGGACGCAGATACAGATGTGGCAGGTTGGAAGGTTAACAAGGGACAGATTCCAGGTAGTGAGACAGTCCCACAGCTGAAAGGGGGAGGTAAGGGTAACAGCCACCAGTTCTTCAATACAATGTGCCAAATACCACGGTAGTTCCCGCACTGCGATTCTCCTCATTCCTATTTTGTTGCTAGGATCATCCAGCTGAGAGGAAGGGCCAGGATTCTGACCTAGAATTGGAGTCGGGAGTACCATCACTCAACATGTGGAGGTGGAATTGATTAGTGTTCACAAGTGGGGGGTGGAGGAAGACCCTATTATCTTACTTGTTTACTTATACATTGGACCAACAAGAACAGAACATCTGTTCTATTGTCTGTGCCGGGCCCATTCTTAGGACTCTAGGGGAGATTAAAATAACCCATGGCATCGACTGTAAAGGATCACCCAGCTCCCAGGCAGCAGGGCAGGCTTCAGTCCTCTCAGGTCACTCTTGGATCCATGACAGAATTCATGTCCTCCACGTGGGAGAGCCCGGTTTGATTCCCGGCCAGTGCACCTTGTGAATCAGCACTCCCCCTATCTGTTAGTGGCATGTTTGCTGTTGCTGATACCCTAAACAGGTTTCAGAGGGCCTGCCAGACTAAGACAGACAGACGAAGACAGACAAAGGCCTGGCCAGGTACAGCTGAAACTCAATCCAGGAAAACCTTTAGGGATCACAATAGACCCATCCTGCTGTGCTTGGGGGAGTCAATGGCATGTTAAGACAAAATACTGGACAGACTGCTCCACAGAGAAGGTAACCTGCCTCTCTTCCTGGGTCCAGCCTAGACTGGCACCTGGCTCACCACCCGACTCTCATCCTAGGCCTGCCAGCCCCACCCCCTTCTCCACTCTGTGAACCCCAGTAGGGCACCCACAATTAGAAACTTTTTGGAAGAGCCCCCTCCCCATCCCACCTGCCCTCTCCACTCTCGGAGCTCCCCCGGCTTGTATGCGGCATGGGTCGAGCTGGGAGCGCTCCTTGGCCCCCTCCCAGAGGCAAGAGAGGCGGGGGATGGGTGGTGGGGTGGCTGGGAAAGCAGGCCGGGCTCGGGTGTCGCAATTCCAGGCCTGGCCGGGACCTTTGCTCCTCGAGGTGTCTCTAGAGGCTGCCGGGATCGGGGTGGGGGTACCCGGGAGTTAGTCCTGTAAGTGCAGCCCCGGGCCCACCGTGGCGAGGGGCGCGACTCCTCTCCTCGGAGCCCAGCGGTCCGTGGGGAAGGGCGAGCGGAACCAGGGGACAGGGGTGGAGGCGGACGAGGGGGCGGCCGGCGGGGAGGAGTCAGGAGGGTGCTGGGGAAGCGCAGCGCAGCCCGTGGGCGGGCGGGGGGCCGGGAGCCAGAGCCCGGGTCGCCCCCGGGGCGCTGGCAGGAAGGAGAGGTGGCCCGACCCCCCCTGGCCGCCCCTCCCCTCGTGCCTTGCCCACTTCCACTTCCCTGGGAGTCCCGGCTCGCTCCCGGCTCAGCTGCAGCTCGGCGACGGCCGGCCGGCCTCGGGACCGGGGACTGCACGTCCTCCTCTCCCAGCAAGGGGGCTCCAGAGACTGTCCGCCGCCGGCCAGCCCAACTGGCGGCCTGGGGAAGCTTTCGGTGGGTCGGCTGGGCTCCGCTGGGCAGAGGGCTTGCGGCTCTGTGTGCGTGTGCCAGGGGGGAGGGTGGTGTGTGTCCTGCGGGTCTCCGAAGAGGCGCTCCGGGAGAAGTGAGGGATGATGGAGAAGGGGGCAGAGAAAGAGCAGGATTCGATTCAGTCCCCTAGAGTAACTTTTGCGGGGTGGAGGCCCTACAGAAACCTCTAGGAGCCCTGGTAAATACGTTGCGGTTTTGCATTGGGCCGCTAAACGCGAGGTCAGCAGTTCGAAACCACCAGCTGCTCCTTTGGAAAAAGAAGAGGCCTGCTACTCTGGTAAAGGGGGACAGTCTCAGAAAACCACAGGGGGCAGTTCTACCCGTCCTATAGGACTGCTATGAATGGGAATTGACCCGAGGGATTCGCAGTGGGAGACAAGAAGTCCGTGCTGGGACCCTTAGGGGAGATTCACCAGAAGACCAGTAGTGTCCCACTGAGGGGAGGGGACCTTCACCCCATCTCCTGGGTCCTGCCAGACTGTCGCTGTCCCCCCAGACTGGGGGAGGGACTCTGCAACTCAGCCTAGTGCCACTCTGGCAGGGGGCACATGTCCCCTCTAACCCCTTGATGGGCTGGGGGGGGGCAGCGCCAGGGAGAAAGGGGTGCATGGTGGCCCCTGCAGCCAGAGAGGTCCGGGCTTGGAATCTTGGTTCTACCGCTACCTAACTGCGGCCATGGACAATTGACTCCGTTTCTTTAGACTTCTGTCTTCCCACCTGTAAAGTGGATTTAAGAATCACCCGGACTGCCATGGGTCCAGGGGCCTTGTGAGGTACAAGGCTCATCTATAAGAGGGGCTTCCAACTGTTTGTGGAAAAATTCGATTATTTTTCCATTCCAGTTTTTTTTTTTCCCTCCCACGACATTTTTGAAGACCCCTCATACCGATGGCAAGGAACTGCTAGCAGGTATTGTTTGTACTGACCAAAGGCAGGATAGGAGAAGAGGGCCCAGGGAGAACGGAGCTGTGGAGTGTAACCCGGTCCTCCCAACAGAACAGACCCTTGGTGATGTCCAGGGCTCCAGGAAGCGATGTCTTTGTGGCTGGAGGCCCCTGTGCCCGCTGTTTCTCCTGGTAAGCTGCTTTGCGCTAGCCCTCCTTCCTGCTCCTGCACCCGGCCCTCCCCGAGGGCAGTCAGAGCTGTTCGTGGCATGGCTTGCCTTTCTGCCCAGGTCATCTCAACCTGGCTCTGGTGCTTGGTTTTCGGGCACCCGCCCAGTCTTCCCCCACAGAGGCTCACTGCCGAGGAGAGCTGGCAATGTAATTGTTTGCCAGCGCTGGCTTCCAAGTGCCCAATCTAATCTCTGAGATGATGCATGGGTGCTAGTCCCCCACCCCCAGGGGACACAGGTTACTTCCCCCATTTAAAGTATTGAGGTGCAGGGGCCTACAGCTGTCTAGTCCCACCATGGGCCACACAAACTCTGGGGTCCCAAGGCCCACTCTGGGACTCTGCTGCCCTCTAAGGGGCAGAGAGAAGCTCACAGTTCCCAGGTAAGGATTCTGGGGAGGTGGACTCTCTAGATCTGAGACGCCCACCCCCCTTCCCGCCCTGAGTCTCCACACCCCACTTCTGCGTGCCTCTCTTTTCTGGGTCTCAGACTCTGTGGCGGAGCTGTGGGAGCCAGGTGTGCAGGATGCAAGTTGCCAGGCTCTGGGCCGGGCCCACTGCACCCTCAGAGAGGGAGCCGGAATGCCCCAGCCCCCCCGGGCCACTTCAGGAGTGGGGCTGGGGGCAGCAGAACCCACAGCCCTGTTCCCCAGGGCAAAGGCCTTTCCAGGGTCCCCAGGTAAGGAGGTGGAAGGGGCTCCTGGGTCTGGGAGGGACAACCTGGGGCTCCTTACCCTAAAATGTATGGGTAGAGCCAAAGGCTTTGAGGTCCACTAGACTTGGGTGATTGGACTCCGAGCTTTGTCTCTCTCGATAGAGCCTGTAGACAATGGGTTCACCTTTTCAACTCTCGTTTTCCTTCTTCGAGGGAACCCTGGTGTCCTCGTGATTATCCGTTGGGCTGCTAACCTCACGCGAGGTCAGCAGATAGGACCCACCAGCTGTTCCCAGGGAGAAAGACAAGGCTTTCTAGCCCTTCCGCCAAGAGTCATCATCTTGGAAACCCACGGGGGCAGTCCTACTCTGTCCTGTAGGGTCACTGTGAGTCAGCATCGATTGAAAGGCAGGGTGTTTGTTTTGAGTTTTCCTTCTTTGTAAAATGGAAACAAAACAAAATGCTTCTTTCTTATGACCACTGTTTGTCAACGGGCCCACACCATAGGCAAGGCACCATGGCACTCGGTACATGAGAGCTGCTGTTTGTAGAATGAGGAACGCTGGGATGGCACAGCTGGTTAAGCGCTTGATGACTAGCCAGGAGGTTGGCGGTTGGGAAGTCAGGCCTGGTGATCTGCTTCCCAAACCCTGTGAAGCGGTTCTAGCCTTCACATATGGCCTTGCCAGGAGGAGGGATGGACTGAAGACAACAGAGACCAACCAGACCGCACAGAGTGGAGGGAAGGAAGGTCCCTGTGCGCGCTCGGGGTGGTGGCCGAGTGGGCACCAACCTTTCGCCTCGGGGAACCAACCAACCAACCATCGGTTCTTCCCTGTACTCAGAGCTCCGCACGCCAAAGCGGAAAAAGGGACCGGCTCCCAAAATGCTGGGCACGGAGCTGTGCAGCGTGTGCGGGGACAAGGCTTCGGGCTTCCACTACAACGTGCTGAGCTGCGAGGGCTGCAAGGGCTTCTTCCGCCGCAGCATCATCAAGGGGGCGCGCTACGTCTGCCACAGCGGCGGCCACTGCCCCATGGACACCTACATGCGACGCAAGTGCCAGGAGTGTCGGCTTCGCAAATGCCGGCAGGCCGGCATGCGGGAAGAGTGTGAGTGTCCTCCGAGATGGATGGGAATCTGAGGGGAGCCTGGAGGGAAAGAGGGGACCTGGTCACCTCAAGGTCAGCAGTTCAGAACCACTTTCTCTGTGGGAGAAAGACGGGCCTCTCTTCTCCCAGAAAAAGTTGTAGTCTCAGACACTCACAGAGGTAGCTCTACCTGTCCTGTAGGATTCCTAAGAGTCAGCGGCAACTCGATGGCAGTGAGTTTGGGGGTTTGAAGAATGGATTGCTGTCTTTTCCTGGACTTCCCCCCAAGCCTTGTCGCAGCCCCTCTGCCCACCCTGACTTCCTGCCTCCCCCTGCTCCCCTGCTCACTGGAGGCCCACCCACCCGTAGGCGTGCTGTCAGAAGAACAGATCCGCTTGAAGAAGCTGAAGCGGCAGGAGGAGGAGCAATCTCAGGCCACGTCATCTTCGTCAGTGCCGCAGAGGGCTTCCTCGCCCCATCAGGCCCTGCCCCAGCTCAGCCCCGAGCAACTTGGCATGATCGAGAAGCTGGTGGCCGCCCAGCAGCAGTGCAACCGGCGCTCCTTCTCCGATCGGCTTCGCGTCACGGTACCCGAGGGACCCAGGGAGAAGTGGCGCTGGGCCAGGTGGCTTCTGGATGCCCAACTCAGCGTGGCTCTCCTCTCCCCCTCCCCGCCTTCCCGGGTGGGCAGCCCTGGCCCATGGCCCCAGACCCCCAGAGCAGGGAGGCCCGCCAGCAGCGCTTCGCCCACTTCACGGAGCTGGCCATCGTCTCGGTACAGGAGATCGTCGACTTTGCCAAGCAGCTGCCCGGCTTCCTGCAGCTCAGCCGGGAGGACCAGATCGCCCTGTTGAAGACCTCGGCTATCGAGGTGAGGCGGCTGCCAGACCCGGGCGGGGTGAAGGGAGAGCCAGAGCAGGGTTGTCTGTGGGAAGGCCCCCGCCACCCCCAAGTCCCTGTTTGAAGTCTGCTACTTGTCTCCAGGTGATGCTTCTAGAGACATCTCGGAGGTACAACCCTGGGAGCGAGAGCATCACCTTCCTTAAGGATTTCAGTTACAACCGGGAAGACTTTGCCAAAGCAGGTGAGAACTGAAGCCCCCAAGGGGTTGGACTGGATGGACGGACAGACAGACACGTTCTGTCATAGAGCCCATGGGTCTGGGCAGCTGCAGAAGGCTGCCAGGCTTCTGGCCTGGTGGCACGGTTGGGTAAGCGCTGCCCTGCTAACCTCCAGTGTGGTGGTTCAAACCCCCCAGCTGCTCCTCAGAAGAAAGCTAGCCAACCTGACAGTCTCAGGCACCCTCAATCGGGACTCGGGAATCAGAAGGGAGGCAGTGGGCGGGTTGTTGTCATTGTGGGTTTTTAGGCCTCAGTGGACCCCAGGGCGCTGTTACATCAGGCCAGGGGGTTTCACACAGTGTCCCCTGGAGCCCCCCATCCCACAGACGAGTCACCTGAGAGGAGGAACAGCGAGGCCCCGGAGCCTCCTTTAGCCTCACCTTCCCCAAAGCCCCATTGACACCCACCACACGTCAGGTGCTCCTGTGGGACATGTGGTCGTAAGCAAAGATTCGATAGCTAGGAAATAGGTTTGAAAACCATTTGCCCAGAGCCCTTCCTGGGGCTGGGCTTTCGGAGGCCCACAAGCTCTCCTTCCCTGGGGCTGATTTTCAGATGTTCCTTTGGATGGGCCACAGGCCTGGGGTTGAAACATTGCCAAGATACCCAAATGGGGACACCTAAGGCGAGGGAGTAGGAGGGTTTCTGTTCCCACCTGAGGCTGCAGGATTTTCCTCCAGAATTTGCTCTCAGGGAAAGGAGCCCCGTTGGTGCCGTTGGGTAGGCCTCGGACTGCTAACAGCAAGGTCGGATGTTCAAACCCACCACCTGCTTAGTGGTAGAAACTTGAGGATGTCTGCTCCTATAAAGATAGACACTCTCAGAAACCCCAGAGAGCAGCGGTTCTCAACTTTGGGTCGCGACCCCTTTGGGGATCAAACGACCGTTTCACAGGGGTCTCCCGATTCATCACAGTAGCAAAATGACAGCGATGAAGTAGCAACAACAATCATTTTATGGTTGGGGAGGGTCACCACCAGGAGGAACTGTGTGAAAGGATCGCGTCACGAGGAAGGTGGAGAACCACTGCTGTAGAGGGTCGCTATGAATCAGAATCCACTCAACGGCAGCGCCGGCTGGCTGCGCTTTCATTCTGATGGGCGCCTGAAGTTAAGCAAAGGGCGGCGGACCCTCACATGGATTTTTGCAATGTGTCTGTTAGGAGTTTGTTAGATGCAGGCTTTGAACATGTTGGGCTGCTAAGGGAAAGGTCGGGAGTTCTAAAGTGCCTCAGAAGAAAGGCCTGGCTGTGCACTCCGGAAAAAGCAGCCACGCGGAAGCGTTGGGACGCAGTCCCGCTCTGACACGCGTGGGGCGACCCCGAGTCTGAGTTACGAAGCCCCTGGCTTTATAACTGCCTGCACCGCAGGAGCCAGGCTGGGAAAGGACAGAAGCTGGGGGGAGTTTGCAGAGAATCGCCACAGGAGATTTCTAGTTTAACTAAGAGAGTGTGTGTGTGTGGGGCGGTCTGTGACGAAATCTCTACTATTTCAAACAAGTACTTCTAGTTGTACTTCAGATGCCCATTCTTGGGCGTGGAGAGATGGTTCTGAGGCCGCCCATCTTTAGAGCCTCCCTTCCGTTCTGGTGACTCGGGCCTGCTCCTGTGCCCCTTGCTGCCCCGATGCAGGCCACCCAAAGGGCTTTCTAGGAAGGCAGCCTTTCACTGCTGAGCGTCCCAGGGTCGTGCGGAGGTTTTTTGCTGTTTGCTTCTTGTTTTGCCTTTGGGAATGCTTAATGTGCCACCCCAATCGGACAGGAGCTATTTAAGGACCTAGCAAGCCCTTAAGGTCCTCCGGTGGCACAGAGGGTCCAAGCTTAGCTGCTAGCCACAAGGTGGGTGGCTCAAACCTACCTGACGGCAGCTTAGAAAACCCTGGGTAACTCCCGGTTTCATTCAGCTTTAAGAGCCCAACCCTGCAGCCTCTCTCCCAAACCACCTCCTTCCCAAGTGATTGTTACCCGGGATCCCTTAGCCAGGGCCTTCTTCTCCTTAATGCCCACCCTCTTTTATGAGCCCTCCTCAGTTCGAAGGTGTCTGTTCCTTCTGGAACACGCGGACTTCCAGCGTGTGATCTGAATCTATACCTATTTATAGATTGATCAACCGAAGTGGCGTTGCTGGCATCCTGTTTGCCTTGCCTTTCTCATTTCATCCGTGACGCTTCAGAAGGAGCAGGGGCTCTGTCTTGTCCAGCTCTTTTTCTCCCTCGACTTCCACTGGCCCACGTGGCACATGGTGGTGGACGGCTGATGAGGATGCGACTGTACATGCCGTTCGAGGGAGCGTTAGCAGACTGTCCCAGGGGCCGTCCGCCAACGCTGCCTCCTCTTCCTCTCGCTCTGAAGAGGCAGTTGGGCTCAACACACGGATCAGAGGAGCGTCCCAAGAAAGGCTTGGTACAATGGGGCTTGCCCACTCTGTGGAGCACGCACACGGAGCCTGAACACTTCTGACAGTGCAGGAAGTGACGCATCAAGGGTGGAAAAGTGTAGCAGATGGCTGCTAGGAGACAGCAGAGGAAGCCGAGGGGACAGCGTTGGGTGGGAAGAGTCGGCAGTGTCGGCAGGGGGCCGCTTCTCTAGGTTGTTGTGACTTTCAGTCACGCGTTGTTGAACTTCGGCTATCTTCTTACCAAGAAGACTGGTTCCGTGAAAAAAAAAAACAACAACGCACACACAACTATAGATAGTTATCTAACCAACGCTTACATGTAAACTGCTGTGCGTCACATGGTCTCGAAGGACCTATTCTGAAGCAGATACTGTTCGGGTCTCCACTTTTGATGGATGGGAAAACCAAGGCTCGGAGAGGTTAGATTATGTACCTCAGGTCACACAGCTACGCAGAGGCAGAGCCAGGACTCAGCCCCAGACGAGTCCAGCTCTGGGGTCCACCCGCTCAAGCACCCCGCTGTGTTCGGGCAGTCCATGAAAGCATGCATCTCTAATGCTTCATATACGTGGTGCCAGGAATCAAGGCTGTTGTTTATGGACCAGCATCAGCAACGCGGGCTCCTTGTGAGTCCTACTAAGAGCGGCGCTGTCACTGCCACGTAATTCGGCTCTGCTGTGCCCCACTCAGCAGGCTCTATCCTTCGGCCATCCCCACAGCCTTGCGAGAGAAGTTCAGGCACCAGGCCTGTTTCCCAGAGGAGGCTTGGAGAGGGTAAGAAGCTTGCCCCAGGCACACACAGCGGAGCCCTGGGGACTCCTTAAGCCATCGAGTCCATGCCGACACACTGCGACCCTGTAGGACAGAGTAGAATGCCTCTGTGAGTTTCCGAAGAGTGTTACTCTTTACGGGAGTAGAAAGCCCCATGCTTCTCCCTCCGAGCGGCTGGTGGTTTAGAACGGACAGCCTAATGTGTAACCGCTGTGGCACCAGGGATCCTGGTGGACTTCTTAACGAAGGCCTTTTCCGGGCTGAGGCCTTGGAGGAGAGAAGGACGTCCCTGCTGCTCCTGCCACCTCCCCCCGCCTCCATTCTTCTTCCCAGGGCTACAGGTGGAGTTCATCAACCCCATTTTTGAGTTCTCCAGAGCCATGAACGAGCTGCAGCTCAACGACGCCGAGTTTGCTTTGCTCATAGCCATCAGCATCTTCTCCGCAGGTGCGGAGGCGGGGCTGGAGGGACACAGAGGGAGGGCCTTGCACCAAGGAGGGCTGCAGGGCCCATAAGGCAGGAATTGTGGGGGTGGCAGCCCTGGCTGTGGTATTTTGGGATGGGCGAGGCTGGGCGGGGCATGTCCTTCTTTTGGGGGTAGGGAACTAGGACCCGAGCCAGACCTGCTCCTCCACTCTGTTGCTGCCCTCTAGACCGGCCCAACGTGCAGGACCAGCTGCAAGTAGAGCAACTACAGCACACCTATGTGGAGGCCCTGCATGCCTACGTTTCCATCCACCACCCCCAGGTGAGTCTCCCCACGGCAGGGTCCACTCCCTGACACACCGCCACCCGAGGCCCCTGCCAGACGCCCTCTCTGGCAGCGCTGGGGTGGTAGGCACGGAGCGGTCACTACCTCTCCCACAGTCCCCTCCCCGTGTCCCCTTCCCCAGGCAAAGGTGATACTCAATTTGTCCCTCTCCTGCCTCAGGACCGACTGATGTTCCCACGGATGCTGATGAAACTGGTGAGCCTCCGGACACTGAGCAGCGTCCACTCTGAGCAAGTGTTTGCACTGCGCCTGCAGGACAAAAAGCTGCCCCCGCTGCTCTCCGAGATCTGGGACGTGCACGAATGACTGGCTCTGTCCCCACACCGTCTGTCTGTCTGCTGCAATAGGCTCTCAGAGGACCCGTGGCAGCCACCTAGAGGTGGAGCTGACTGAGATGGATGGACATTCTCAAGGGGTGGGAGGTGGGGGGATGCCAGGGGAGGTCCCTCATGGGGCATTAAAGGAGAGTCATGGGGTTGGGTGTTCTGTGGCTGCTGGGCAGTGGGGGTCCTGCGGAAGCTGTGCTCCATCTGAAGACCACAACGCAGCCAAATGGTCACATTGCACCAAGTTCTCCCTGACCCTGCCCATCCTGCCTCCACCACTTCCTGTTTCCCCCACTGGGCCTTGCAAGAAAAATTCCACTATCATTCGGTGGCTCAGCGGCCATCGGTGCCCCCAGGGGGGGCTGCTTCACCGATAGGTCTGGTATGGTTGAAACAGGCAAACCAACATGCATGCCCAATGACAGAAACTTCACTTCTGGATTGGGGGTGCCCCCCCCACCGGGGAACCAGAGAAGGGAGAGTCACAAGGGACAGCCTCAGTCGTGACCGGGGTCTCCTTTTACTAGCCCCACTGACCTCCACTTGGGTCACTGAAGTGTGATGTTCGGACACCCCCTTAGCAATGCAACCTCAAGTGTTTGTCAGGGTGGGTGGGGGGTGGGATTTTCTGAACCAAGCCTTGCGCTGCATGCGGGTGGACGGCACCGTGGTTTTTTAGTTGGCATCTGAAACACAGGGCCCAACCTGAACGGCCCCGAGCCAGGCCCACCCTCCTGCCAGCCGCCCAGGCCCGGTGGCACAGGAAGAAATGACCCCTAAGGAAGCTGCCTACTCCGTGGTCTGGGCTCGCCCAAGGGCTGGACTCTCTTTCCCAGCGGGCACCGCGGTACGGCGCGCGCGCGCACCCACCCCCGTTCCCCGGGCGCGCGCCCGGTATAGGTGATCCCGCGGCCACGCCCTCCAGCCCGTGTCCCCCCCCGCCGCCCTGAGTTGGTAGGCTCCGTGAGCGGGCTAGCCCGCGTTCCAGTCCCGTCGACTGGGCACTTCCAAACCATGTACGGGGGTGTCAGGTGAGGCCTGGTGGGGGTGGGCATCAGGAAGTCTCCGAGGCGGTTGGTCTTGAGAAGTCGCTTCTCGATTAATCAATAGTTCATCAACATGGGCTCTCTTGCCGTGACGAATTAAAACTGCGCAGCTGACATACCAGGTACTCCTCGGAGTCCTCCCCGGAGCCCGCGCGTCCCAGCCGGGTCGCGGGCCCACGCACGGATCGGTGCGTGCGTAGCCGCCGTCCTCCCTGTGCGCGCGGCTTGGTGCAGCCCTGTGCCCCCGCCCCGCGCGGGTGAGTGGTACGCGCCCCCCCACCGTGCAGACGCGGAACTGGCGCCCGCTGGGAGCGCCGCCGCGCCGGGGCCCCACTGACGCTCGGCGGCCCGGGCGCGTCCGGCGGGCCTGGCCGCTCTCGGGGACTCGAGAGGTAGGAAAGGCCGGGCCACCGGGGACTCCGGGGGGCTAACTGGGCGGGGTGCAGACCGGAGTGGTGAGAGGGAACGAGACCTAGGGGGACGCGGTTCAGAGGAGGCCTTCCAGGAGTGCCAAGGGGCGTGAGGGTGAGGGGGGATTGGAGCGGGGAGCGGGGCTGTAGAGAAAGGAGGCGGGGGCAAAAGTAGGGTGCTCGGGGGCTGCGGTGCTCGATTCCGGGCGCGGGCGGCGCGCGTTGGGGACGTGAGCTGGGGGAGAGCTGTCCAGCAGGTGAGGGGGCGGGCGGAGCTGTCCCGGACCAGCTGGGATGAGCACCTGGCGTGGGAGCGTGGCAGTGTGCGTGCGCGCACGCGGGTGCGTGTGCGTGTGCTTTAGTTTGGGTTAGGATCATGACAACTATGATTGGGTCTTCATTTTTAATTTGATGCATTAAAATGGGCACGGGTGGAGAGTGGAGCCTGTCTCAGCCTTCTGGTCACCGCGCCCTTCCCCGCCTGCCTGGGAGCATCCTTCCTCCCCTCGCCCTCGCCGCCCCAGCCTGGTTGCTCAGGTTCTCTCTCCCACACGCTGGACCAGTCTGTGCCGATGCGCTAGCAAGGTCACTGCACCGGGCGAGGGAGGAGGGGCAGAGAGCCTCCTGTGGTGCTCACGTCAGCAGAGATGTCATCTTGGTCCCCGATTCCTGTGGTTTTACTATGAAATCCTGCCCCCAAACGAGAGCCGAAGCCAAAAGGCTGGTTAACATGGCCCAGGTAGGCTTAGATGAAATGGTCGCAGATGAAATGAAGGTTTGTGGGTTCTTAATCTTACGGGTGGAGGGAGTGATTTGGTGATGATGAGAATGGCTTTGGGACTGATGCCTTTGGAATAAATGCAGCGATGGACCAGAGACTGCTTTAATAGCTACGGTTGAGGCCAGAGGCAGAGCCTAAGCCTGGTTGGAAGAGGGTGTGGTGCTAAGAGAATTGAGAGCCTTTGTGGGGAAAGGGAGCAGCTGGTGGCTTAGTGGTTACGCATTGGGCTGCTAACACCAAGGTCAACAGTTCCAAACCATCAGCTGCTCTGGGGGAGAAAGATGGGCTCTTTTACTCCCCTAAAGAGTTACTCTCTTGGAAACTGGGGCAGTTCTACCCAGTCCTATAGGTTCACCCCCAGTCGGCATGGACTCAGGGGCACTTGGTTGCCTCTTTTATGGGAATAACTGGAAGCTGATGGTGTACGAATTGTGGGGTGGAGCCCTGCTGGCACATGGGGTTAAAGCGCTTGGGTGCTGCCCAAAGGCTGGTTGTTCAAACCAACTACTGGCGCCATGGGAGCAAGTTGTGACAGTCGGCTTCTGGGAAGCTTTACAGACTTGGAAATGCTCTGGGGCAGTTCTCGCCTGCCCTTCCTAGGTTGCTGTGTGTTGGCCTCCCAGGGCTGGCAGTGGGTTTGACCACTAGGAGCTGGGTCGTGGGTCCCTGTGGCTCTGGATGGTGAGGGCTGTTGAGCATGCTGGGAGTTTTATCACATGGTTGTCCATGAAGAAGGTTGGGAATCCCACCAGGGCTCGTGATCCAAGGCTTCATTGATTTGTAGGCAATGCTTCCATGGTCATCTCTGAGTTTGGGGCAGCAAAAGGCTCCTGGTTTTCAATGCAAACCTACTTTCCGGGCTTAGCTTTGATCCCTGGTCCTATAAATACTGGTTTGTGTCTGTACCATTTGTTTTAGAAGAAATGATGTTTCTACGCATCTTCCATCTCCTTTTTGTCCAGCCCTCCCCGTCTCATTCTGGTTGGGTGGGCCCCGAGCCGCTGTCACCGTGACCCACCTTCTGCAGTATGCTTATGACTCCCGAGCAGCTGAGAACCACAGGGCTGTTGGGGCTCGTGAAGCAGGGGTGATGTGGAGAAATGAGTGTGCAGCGTGGTGTTTCCTGGAACTTGGTTTTGCTTGTTTGTTGAGGAGATAGTGCTATCAGAAGCCAGAATTAGCACCAGTACAAACTGACGACAGATGGGGAGAAGACAGTCTGAGTCTTAGCAGGTGCCCCGGGGAAGAGGTGGCTCTGCGTCCGAGAAGAATGGATTGTTAGGGGCCTTGGCTGATGCTGGAGTAGCAGCTGCTCGCACTGTGCGGTCACCACGCAGGGGAGGGACTGTGACTCTGCTATAAATAGTGCAGAGAGCCAGAGTCGCTATGGAGACAAAAGTGAATCCTATTACCTGCAGGTCTTCTGTTGGGAGCAAGAGCAGCATTTGGGGCATTTCTGAGATGGTGCAGATAAGTTTTGTTGGTTATTAGGTAGGGGCTGAAAAGACAGAACTTGTACTCTTAGTCAAACAGGGCTGTGGCATACAGGCAGTATGTGTGTGTGTGTGTGTGTGTGTGTGTGTGTGTGTGTGTGTGTCTGTCTGTCTATCTGAGAGCACACAGCCCCAAAGAAAGGAGTGGTGTGCGCAGATTGCTTCACGAATGCTGTGTGTCCGGCGAACGTGGTCTTGGTGCGGCCATGTGCAGGACACAGAGGTGGGATCCTGGCAGCACTGGACATAACCTCAGAATGGAGTGACGCGTTGGACAGAGGGAGACCCAGCAGGACATCAGTTCAGACCAAGTCAAGCCTTCTCTGAGGAGCCTTGGGGCACAGTGCTTAAGCGCTCCGCTTCATCCAAAAGTTTGGCTGTTCAAACCCACCACCGCGCCACAGGAGACAGATGCTGTCTGCTTCCCTAAAGGCTGCTGGCTGCCGGCTGCTAGCCCCAAGGTCAGCAGTTCGGAACCACCGACTGTTCCAGGGGAGAAAGACGGGCCAACCCTAACAACCTTTTTGGGCAGTCCACTCAGCCCCCCCTCCACTCCCATCCCTCCGAGTTGGCATAGACTCAACAGCTTAGCTCTGGTTCATGTTTCAGCTTTTCCTGATCTTAGACCTTTATGTAGTCATTTCTCTGAGCACCCCCCGCCCCCTCCTTGCAGATCTCCTGGTGTTTCTGCATCTCTCCCCCTGTATCTGTAAGACAGAGTGTAGACCTCATCTGTATACATTCTGATTCCGATCCTGGCACCAGAAGAGGGGGATTCGGGAGGGGGAAAGACCACCACCATCAACAAAAGACTGATTCAGCACCAAGGGCAGAGCGAGCTAGTAGCAGTAGCCGCAGGGAGGGGAGTGGGGGCGTTTTGCCTGCAGGAGGAAAGTGGCTGAGGGAAACAATTGGGGGCAGACTGGCGCTCTCTGGACTGTGTGAGGTCGAGTACCCATCTGCTGCTCTTGTCTCCACTGCAGTCTGCGTGCAGTGTTGCTGCAAAGGGAACGCAGACTCTTAGGACCAGGGAGGATGAGGTTCCACACACAGACGCTGGCGGGTGGGCAGCACTGGCCGGAGAGGCTGCTGTGCTCCTGAGCTCCCCGGAGCAGTCCTGCGAGTGAGTGACTGAATTCACGTTGTCATGATGACGGTGGCCAGATGAGACTGCCTTGGGTCTGTTTTACAGAACCGAGCCCTGTCCCTGCGGACAAGGCTGGAAACAGGGCCGGGCAGGAAGGTGAGAGCCATTGTCCTACTTCATGACATTCCACTCTGGCCGATCAGGATCACAATCTCAGAGAGAGTTCTAGAGTAGGAAAAGGCTCTTGTTCGCCATCGTAGATCAGAAATTGGAAGGCCTGACCTACACCCTAGTCTAGGAGGAAGTGGCGAGGGATGAGTCTCTCTCTCTCTCTCTCTTTTTATTCCTGAGGGATGAGTCTCTTAGGCACAGACCTTATCAGTACTTTTTAAAATTTCCTTCCTTTTAGACTTGCATTCTCAGATAATATTGAAAATCACTTTGGGCACGTGGAGACTTCTCGCTGGGGCGCACCGAGGTTTCTCTGCGATGAACTGCTGAAGCGTCGGCACCATGGTGCAGAAAAAGAAGTTTTGCCCTCGGTTACTGGACTACCTAGTGATCGTCGGGGCCAGGTAACCAAAAAGGAACTCCTTTTCATCTGGTCACCTCCCTGGCCCCATCACCTCTTCCTCCCCGCTGTCACTGCCCCCTGGTGCCAGCTGTGAAGCCAGGGGGGAGTCCAGGCTACGGGGAGGGTTGGCCTTGAGCAATGCAGACAGAGCTGACCTCTGTGGACTGGAGCAGGCCTGCTTGCTCTTCCCCGCTGGCCTTGTTTTGAAAGAAAGAAAAGTACAGCGTGCTCACCCTTCGCTGTGTGCATGTGCCCGGCGCGTGATAACATGAGCTGCCACCCCTCGCATGGTGCTAGTGATGTTACGGTTCCAATGTCCCGTTTGCCTTAAGGTGGGTGTCTTCATGACAGCCCAGAGCTCACTCATTCACTAGCCTCCCAGCCAGACTCGGCCATGGACCCCAAGGTTCCCCACCCACTTCCAGGGAGGTTACTTTGTCCGGAGTAGCACCTCGAGCTGTATTTCCTGATGGCTGGGTAAAAGCAGGTGCAGCTTCGATCGCGTCAGGCTGCTGAATTCGCTTCTATCCTCTGCAGACACCCGAGCAGCGACAGCGTGGCCCAGACCCCTGAACTGCTGCGGCGCTACCCCTTGGAGGATCACCCCGAGTTCCCCCTGCCCCCCGATGTGGTCTTCTTCTGCCAGCCAGAGGGCTGCCTGAGCGTGCGTCAGCGGCGCATGAGCCTGCGGGACGACGCGTCCTTCGTCTTCACCCTCACCGACAAGGACACTGGAGTCACGCGTTATGGCATCTGCGTGAATTTCTACCGTTCCTTCCAGAAGCGCCTGCCCAAGGAGAAGGGGGAGGCGGGGCTGGGGTCCCGGGGCAAGGAAGGACCCCGTGCTCCCTGCGCCTCAGAAGAGGCTGGCACTGACAGCTCAGAGGGCGGCTCGTCCCTGCCGCCTCCCAGCGCTGACTCTACCCCTGACGTGAACCAGTCTCCTCGGGGCAAATGCCGGGCCAAGGCGGGCAGCAGGTCCCGCAACAGTACCCTGACGTCCCTGTGTGTGCTCAGCCACTACCCCTTCTTCTCCACCTTCCGCGATTGCCTGTACACCCTCAAACGCCTGGTGGACCGCTGCAGCGAGCGCCTGCTGGCCAAGAGGCTGGGCATCCCTCGGGGCGTGCAAAGGTGCGTTCTGCCGCCGGCCCTCGGAGGGCAGGGGAGCTCTTTAGAGGCGTCTCAGGCCTGCGAGGGGCCTGGACCCTTCCTCCAGCCCCTGGGAAGCAAGGACTGTGCTATTAGAGGGCTGCGGTGGCTCCGTGTTAGAAAGCTCATACTCCATGCCGGAGGCCCCAGTTTGATTCCCAGCCAAGGCATCTCGCGTCTAGCCACCACCCCATCTATCAGTGGGGGCCAAGCAGATTTCCGCAGAGCTTCCACACTAAAACAGACTAGCAAGAGAGGCCTGGGGGTCAGCTTCTGACACTCAGTTGGTTGAAGCCCCGTGAATCACAATGGCCAGGCAGAACTGGCTGCCCGCTCATTCCTTTGTGCCAGGGGCTGCCTTGATGGCAGCTAGTGACATATGATCTTGTTAGTCCTTGCTGAGGGCAAGAGGCTCCAGAGGCAGGCGTAGCGGATTGCATTTGACATAGTCTGAGGGTCTTGGTTTGTCTCGGTGGGTTGGGCAGCGAGTCCGACCCCATGTGTGTTTTGTGCACACGCATTCTTTCCCTCGGGTCCCCCGTCTGATCCTCCCCGAGCCCCCGACAAGCTTTCCCCAGTGCTGCTCCATTTGCAGCAGTAGACCTTTGGCCCGAGGGGGTTGTCCTGGGTTGCAGCGGGGTGTGGACTCCGGACACTGATGTGGCCGCCTCCTGCTGTCTGCCCCTCAGGGACACCATGTGGCGCATCTTCACGGGGTCACTGCTGGTGGAGGAGAAGTCGAGTGCCCTCCTGCAAGACCTCCGGGAGATCGAGGCCTGGATCTACCGGCTGCTACGCTCCCCGGTACCAGTCTCTGGGCAGAAGCGAGTGGACATTGAGGTCCTACCCCAGGAGCTCCAGCCGGCTCTGACCTTTGCACTGCCAGACCCCTCGAGATTCAACCTCGTGGACTTCCCCCTGCACCTTCCCCTGGAGCTGCTGGGTGTGGAGGCCTGTCTCCAAGTGCTCACCTGCATCCTGTTGGAGCATAAGGTGAGAGAGCTGGGGCCCAGGATTCTTCAGGCTAGGCCAGGAGCTCTCTGAGGACAGGGACTGCGTCTTTCTTGTCTCCCTGTCCCCAGGAGGACACACAAAGCCAGGTACACAGCAGGCACTCAGCAGGTGTGGGCTGAATTTAGTTACCGACATCTCGTGGGGTGTATGTAGTGGGCGTACCATCCAGCTGAGTTACCCTCTCCGATCCTGACCTCATCCTATGGCAATTTCAGTTGTGGCCCTGGTATGGGGGTACAAGGACTAGGGCGGTTGGAGGGTAGTTCCGGAGGGGACTGTGACTGCTGGGGTGGCAAGGTGGCAGGCATGTTGAGGCCCAGTTCGGTGGGGATTGTGGAGACCGTAGGCAGGGAGAAAGGAAAGGCCTTCAAGGGTGGTGGGAGCTGTTTCTACACAACCTCGCTCGATGCTGTTGAGTGAGTCCTCCGGCCTGGCTTGTGGCAGGTGGTGCTGCAGTCCCGGGACTACAACGCCCTGTCCATGTCGGTGATGGCCTTCGTGGCCATGATCTACCCCCTGGAGTACATGTTCCCCGTTATCCCACTGCTTCCCACCTGCATGGCGTCGGCAGAGCAGGTGAGTTGCCAGGTGGCTTCGGACTCTGCCCCTCCAACACCCCCCCCCCCATTTTCCAGCATAGTCCAAGTCTGAGGGAGAAGGTTCAAGAGCGTCCCGGGCGTTTCCCTGCTATTACTGACTTGTTGGCAAAATCTGACCCGAGCCGAACTGATTGGGTGGCAAGACCTATGCTATTATTAGTATGTATTTATCACAGTTAACGATAATGAGTTATAGGCTACTGGCCCACGCTCCGCTGCAGGAGTTACAGAACACGCCGGGGACACACACACACACCACCCCCCTGCCCAGCGTTAGCTTTCTGAAATCCGAAACATTCTGATTTTGAAAACACACCCAGTCTCAGAGGCTTTGGACAAGGACTGTGGCCCTCCTTCCGTTTTCTGAGCTCAACAAACCTTGTGACTGGGCGAGGGGGCTCGATCAAGATAAGCTGTACCCTCTGCTGCTTCTTGTCTTCCCCGCAGCTGCTGCTGGCTCCCACCCCGTACATCATTGGGGTCCCGGCCAGCTTCTTCCTCTACAAACTGGACTTCAAGATGCCCGATGACGTGTGGCTTGTGGACCTGGACAGCAATCGCGTGAGTGTCGTGGCTGAGGCCGGCGGGAGCGTCGAGAACAGGCTTGTGCCTGCTGTTTGCCCAGCTTCCCCCAGGAAGGGCTCCTAAGCTTCTGGGTGGTTCCTGCTGTGAAAACAATAATGCTACTTATCAACGTTACTGGCTGAAGAGAAAGCTGGGCCCAGAGGCCCTTGGTTAGGCCTCAAAGACTGGGAGGGTTTCCTTTGGCCTAAATTAAGTGCCCACCCCTCTTCCTTCAAGAACAGCGAGGAAGCTGTGGTGCAGACCCGAGGCGTTGTGTAGTCATCTCCTATTGGCTCTCCTGGAGGTGCAGCGTCCAATAGGAAGCTGCCTCTCACCGCAGACTTGTGAAAATGTTCTGTTAACCTTCTGCAGTGTGAGCAGGTTCAAAGTTTGGTCCCAGGAAAAATCCATTGCCGTCGATTCACTTCCAGCTCACAGCAAGCCTACAGGGGTTTGATTTTGTAGCAATGCTTTTTGACGTATCGTGTATCTATACTTTCATTGTAACACTGTAGAAAGCAGAGATGAATGTATGGAAGAAAAACCCCACAATCCTATTCTCTAGAACAGCGGTTCTCAACCTGTGGGTCGCGACCCCTTTGGGTCTTGAACAACCCTTTCACAGGGGTCGCCCAATTTATAACAGTAGCAAAATGACAGTGATGAAGTAGCAACGAAAATAATGTTATGGTTGGGGTCACCACCACATGAGGAACTGTATGAAAGGGTCGCAGCATGAGGAAGGTTGAGAACCACGTCATCAGTCACATTTAGGCTCCTTTCCTATCAGATGCGCATGTTTCCTATTTGTCGATGTCACGTGTACATCTATTATGTATCCCATGAGAACGTCCGAGTGCATACAGTCCCTGCTCTTGTTATTCGCTAAGATGTAGGAGCTCCTAAGCCACTCTGACGATGCCTTGTCACCTTTCTCTGACACAGGTGATCGCCCCCACCAATGCAGAAGTGCTGCCTGTCCTGCCAGAACCAGAGTCCTTGGAGCTGAAGAAACATTTGAAGCAGGTCGGTGGAGGATGGAAAGAGAGCTGTTGGCGTGCTGTATGGGGATAGCTCATCTCAGGGCTGGTTGCCTTTCAGGTGACGTCAAGTGGAGTCGATTTTTGTAGCCAGGGATGGGCTTTCAAAGAGGCACGGTCCATTTTTGGGTAACGGGGTGAATATTGCCTCAAGAAAGACTTTAGATCCCGTCTAATTCACTGCATGCCCTTCCACCCTTTAATGCTTGCGATGCTATACAAGGGGTGGGGGTTCAGAAGTTCATGGGAAAAGGCCCATGAACTTTCTATTCCATTTTGAAGCCCTCCAATATAAAATGAGCGCTGGTTGCATAGTGGGTTACCAGTTGGGCTGCTAACTGCAAGGTCAGCAGTTCGAACCCATCAGCTGCTCTGAGGGAGAAAAAGGAGGCTTTCTATTCCTGTAAAGCATTAAAGTCTTAGAAACCCACAGGAGTAGTTCTGCCTTGTCCTATAGCAGTGCTTCTCAACCTTCCTGATGCCGTGACCCTTTCATACAGTTCCTCATGTTGTGGTGACCCCCAACCATAAAATTATGTTTGTTACTACTTCATAACTTATTTTGCTATGTTATGGATTGGGCGACCCCTGTGAAAGGGTCGTTTGACCTCCCCCAAAGAGGTCGCGACCCACAGGTTGAGAACCGCTGTCCTATATTGTCACTTTGAGTGGCACTGACGTTGAGTTGTATATAAAACAGCTAATCACTTCCTGTTTCTCCTCACATCGTAGATTCTGTGTGGCCTGGGCCCATGCGCGCGCAGTCTTGTCAAGTGGGAGCTAAGTCTGAAACATTCAGACAACCCAGCTCCTTTCACATTTTCCCCCCAAATTGGTCCCTATAGCATCCTTCCTTTTCTCTTAAAACAAATATATAATAGTTTTATCAGCACATCTTGCACAGTCCAGTATGTCCAGTCACATTAAATTCTGTTCAGTCTCATCGAGTGAGGTCATGCAATCATCATTGCTATCAGCTCTCCATTTCCTCCCTGTCCCTCCCTTCCTGCATCCTCAGGGGACGGTTACTCCTGTTACTGTTTCTGAAGGGTTATCTATCTTGATTTTCATGTGCCGCATAATCTTAAATATACAAATGAACATATGCAAATCTAACTTGATTAATGAGGTCAAATAAGTAAACACCATAATAGTAAGGGGAGGAAATATTTATGAAGTAGAGGCTAGTTAGGTAGTTCATCAGTGCCACCCGCACCTGAATTTATAATCCCTTCTGAGAGGGATCGCCCAGTTATCCTGCCGGTGGGTTTTGGGTCTCCACTACATCCACACCCCTTCACATCGATTTGGCTGTGTGTTTTTGGACTTCTGATACCTCTTCCCTTCGACACCTAATGATCACACAGCTAGTGTGCTTCTTCCATGGTGGACTTCATTGCTTCCCTGCTAGATGGCTGCTTGTTTAACTACAGGCCTTTAAGACACCAGATACCTTATCTTTTGATAGCCGGGGACCATCAGCTTTCTTCACCACGTTTGCTTATGCCCCCATTTTGTCTTCAGTGATCGTGTAGGGAAGGTATCCTATAATGACACATTGTTAGAACAGACCGTTCTTGTAGGTAGGATTTACGTAGGGGCCCAAAGTCTGTATGTAGCATCCTTTCTTGAATAATCTCTTAAATCCATTTTGCGTTGATTGGTTATTTTTCTCCTCTTCCTTCTGCACACTGAACCCAGACTCTGAAGGTGACACCTGGTTGGCCCCACCGGGAGCCCTGCTGTGTGTGTGTCATGTACGGGTTGCCGGTAGATGGCACTGTCCATTTTGAAGGACCCTCGGGCCTCTCTGAGGTCCGCCCCTGGGCGGCACCCCTCCATGAGAGCCTTCCGGAGTTAAGGGGTTGTTTTGCACCGCCCTCTCATCCTCACCTGCTTCATCCCGCTGATGTTACGTGACACCGTGCACTGCAGCCTGGTGAGGATGGCAGGGGCCGCAAGATCGTGAGCTGCCTGCCCTGGCTGTGTGTTTGGCTGGCAATGGTTGTCGCAGCAGCTGATGTGAGGGAAGAGGCGCTAGATGGACTGATACTTGGGATGTTCGCAGGCCCTGTCTGATTCTGACGCAAATGATGGGGCCCTCGGCGAGCTCGACGCAGCTCCATCCCAGACCTGTTGGATTAGGGCCTTAACAGCATCCACAGGCGCGCTTGTGCTTGCTGACCACTTGTGAATCACTGCTCTGCTCGGCCTCAGCGGTTCGTTTAGGTCAGGAGCCTTCAGTGTAGGAGCCCCAGGGTTATAGGTGGTCTAAATTACCACCAGAGTTCTGCTATCCTCAAGGTCGGTGATTCAAACCCACCAGCTGCTCGGTGGGGGGAAGAGGAGGCTGTCTGCTCTGGTAAAGCTCGACAGCCTCCAAAACCCTATCTGAGGTCTTGATGAGTTGGACTGGACGCGATGGCAGGGCGTCTGGTTTGGCTTTTATTGCCACGTGAGCTGACACGTGAAAGGCAAGCTTTCATGGCTAAGATCCATGTGAAAACTGTACCCTAGAATTCCGGTTTGACCAAATTGCCTCCAGCCAAGTCCTCTCTGCCATCAGAGGACTTGCCAGAAGCCACACTACATGGATTCTTATTTTTTTAAATCATTTTATTAGGGGCTCATACAACTCTTATCACATCCATACATACATCAATTATGTAAAGCACATTTGTACATTCATTGCCCTCATCAGTCTCAAAACATTTGCTCTCCACGTAAGCCCTGGGCTTCAGCTCCTCATTATTTCCCCTCCCTCGTGAACCCTTGATAATTTATAAATTATTATTTTGTCATATCTTGCACTGTCTGACGTCTCCCTTC